CGTTCTGTGAACGATAAAAAACTAAACAATTCCATGACTTACCAGGTCTCGTATAATTGAGAGCATATACCAGGGTCAATTCGCATCCAGAGGCCCCAATACCGCCCAGTTGTTATACTTCTACGTCGGTTTTGGGAACACATCAGAGAAAGATAAGCTCTATCGAAACATGCTATTGACCTTTTGGGAGCAGCTGGTGAAGAAAGCCGAGGGACGGGATATCAACACGTTTGGGAACCATTCCCCACCCGAGTTAATCGAGAGAGAGCTTCTGAAATTGCTGGTCTCGACTGGACGTGACATCTACATTGCTATTGACGCCCTTGATCAGCTCCCCTCGGAATCCCAGTACCAACTGATCAACTGGCTCAACGCCACGGCCAAGACGTTCCAGGACGAAACAAGTTGTCGCCTGAGTATAGCATTAAGTTCCCGCGATTGCAGTGGTGTCGATCAACTGTATATGCATAAACTCTTTTCGATCGAGGTGACAACGGAGCGAAACAGGCGTGATATCGAATTGTACCTGGAAAAAGGACTCAATAAATCGAAGCTTCTGCAGAAAAGTCCGATGCTTAGAAAGAAGGTCTTTGACAGATTAAACCAAGAAGCGGATGGAATGTTAGTATCATGGACCTTTTCCCTGGAACTTAAGCTAATAAATAATCTAGGTTCCTATGGGTCAGCCTACGGACATTGAATATTTGCGAACTGCAGTTAGAAACGCAGGTGTTAAAGGCCCTGGAAAGCCTCATCCCACCGCAGAGAATGCGGGAAATGTATGAAGCCTATGCTGAGGGTTTCGAGTCTTTAAGCGAGTTAATCCAGCGGCAGATATCCCAAAGGATAATGGCTCTATTAGCCCATAGTGCCGGATCCATGCCTAGGGAGGTCATTCTGGTAGCCCTCTCATTGGACGAAGATGGGAAAGTAGACCAAACGCTTCATCAGGAACTGACCAACGCTCCCGATATCATCGTCCGCTTCTGCAGCCACTTGGTTCGCATCGATGAAAATCTCCGCACCTTTCAATTCTGCCACAGAACCGTCTTCGACTTTTTCAGTGCATACAAACCAGCTATGTATAATCACAGGATTGCAGGGCTATGCTTGTCACATCTGTGCTCGGCGGACTTCTCTCAAGGCCCCCTGAGTGATGTTACGTGGTATAGCCCCGGTAGCCTCCGGCCAATCTTGCAAACTCATCCATTTTTACCGTTCGCGGCTTCTAGGTGGGCCACAAGTATTAAGAAAAGCATCGAGGATGAGAGCATAGAAAGCCTGAAAAAAAGCCATCGTGATGTTCTGAACCTGCTTGAGATAATCTTCAACAAGAGAGGGGAGGCAGAAGAAACAGGCAACCTACAACTAGCATTCCAAGTACACCTATTCAATCGCCGAAGGTCGATGTTAGGAGGAATCAGTCATGAACATGTCGTCAGTTATTTTGCCCTCGTCGAGCTCTTTGATATCTTCAGGGAAAGAAATTGGTTCGACGCAGAGAAGCTTGATCACGACGGACTGAGACCGATCCACTGGGCTATACGCAACGAGATTGATCATGACGCCGCCACCCTCACCGTCAAAAAGCTGATTGAATATGGCACCGATGTCAACATAAAAGACAAAGAAGGCCGCATCCCTTCATACTACGCCGCGCATGGCGGAAATTGGAAAGTGACCAAATTACTTGTTGATCATGGGGCTGAGCTCAACCTCACGGACAAGAACGGGGAGACACCCTTGATCGCCGCTTGTAGAACGCATCACGAGAAGGTAATATCGTGTCTGGTCAAAGCCCAAGCAGACGTAACGATACAGAGCTTGTTCGGCACTGCTCTGCAGGCTATTTCCATGGTCGGTTGTTGCAATTGTGCAAAAGCAATCCTAGCCCGGCACGGCAAAGGGAAGATAGTTGAACCCAATGGGCCTTTCGGAACTTCTCTTCATGCTGCGGCGTTTCATGGTCACTTGGATGTCGTCAAGCTCCTATGTTCAACACGGATCAACGTTCGCGCAACACACAGAACATACGGGAGCCCTGTGACGGCCGCATCCACAGGCTTCAACCCGGGACAAGACCCTGCTCCATTCCTAGAAATAATTGAGGAGTTGATCAAACATGGTGTGAAGGTCAACGACCGAAGCGGTCTGGTTGGACCAGCTCTTCGGGCAGCCGCATACCATGGAAGCCCGGAGCTGGTCAAGCTACTTCTGGAGAAGGGGGCTAAGGTTCGCAAGGCCAAAGGACCGATGGGCACGGCCTACGAAGCTGCAGACGAGCGTGGACACCAAAGGGTTAAGGAGATCTTGCTGGACAACGACCCGAGAGCAGCAGATTATGGCGGAGCCCCTATGTCCAAATCGGTGGATCGTCAACAAATTCAACGAAAGGTGTTCAAGACCGCTGTCAAGGCGAGCAGTATGGAAAACATCGATAGTCTCGTCAGCCAATTTGAGAAGTTCTTCGAAAAGGAAACCAAAAGGGGCGTGACCCCTTTTCTCAGAGGGTTAGCTAAGCTTGGCCAGGACAGCTTTCAGGACGTGGTCACGCTGGCCACAAAGTCGCATGACAAGCCCAACATCGCAACGAGACCAGACAATGGCGGCAGGTTGCGAGTACGAAAAATGATGTCTCACATATTCTGCATGCCTTTTTCACACACAAACGATGAGCTTGTCTTGGAGTCTAGGCCTACCTCCGCGCCTTCTCCCCACCTTCGCAGGGCGGGAACTTCGTTTGTTGAGGATAGCCTTGGAGAACACTTCCCACAAGTCCTAGACCGGATGACCCAAGCTGCCGTAAAGATCATGGAGGATGCCATTGCGAGCAAGGATCAAGATGTAATCAAGCTAGTCGCCAATACGTGGGTCGAGGCACTGAGAAATCTTGTCTCGTATCCTGGCTTCGGCGAGGCGATGCTAGAAATGGTAGTGCAGAGGCGTGCGAACGAGCTTAAGGGGCATCTGACCAACCCGAACTTGAGCCCAGAAGAACGGTACGAGAGGGCTGAGGCCTTGGTTCTGGTTGGCATCGAGCTCCTCATGGCCGCTATGGAGCGTGGGAAAAAGTTCAGGCCCCTATGCCTCATAATATCCAAGCTGTGGGTGAAGGCGGTAAGCGATGTGGAGGATCTCGGCGAAGAGGGCGAGGCACCGGTACGGGAGCTGATTCGCATATTTGCCGAGCGATTCACAGACGCAGTCATGATCCAGGACCAAGTGCATGTCGAAGTGTATGCACAGGCTGCCGTGGAGCTGCTGAGAGCAGCAGCATTGAGCTCGAAGACCACGCTGCTGGAGAAGATCAGCAACGAATGGGTGGTGCTGTGGGGCTTGGCCATTGAGAAGAACATGGGACACATCGTCCAGGAGCTGCTTCGCCAGCGATGGGAAGAATACCAAACCTGCTTCAAGGGTGGGAAGTATGACGAGGCTTTTGGTCTGGCACTTGCAAGCCTGGGAGTGCTTCGCGCGGCCATCGAGCGAAGAAACAATACGGCAATATCTACATTGCAACCAATCATCGAATCGGGTCTTCAGTTCGCGCGAGAAGGCCCTGCTGAACGGAAGATGTCCTGTTCAGAGATCAGAGCCATCCTCAACGCCGTCGTCCGCTTGTTCGCAACGGCCGAAGAGGTGCAGCCTGGCTACTTGGACACCTTCGCTGTGATGATTCTTGACCTTGTAGGAGCTGTCCAAGGTGAATACCATCAAGAGATCATGGGAGCTACAACCCAGCGTATTGAAGAGGCTGGTCGAGTCATTGGTCCCACGGAGCGAGAGAGGCAATCTATGGAAATCTCCAGGACAATCGTTGCCTTCACGGAAATTGCATTATGTGCGGAGGGAAAATATTCCGCGGTCTTGGTAGCACTGAAGGAATTGAGTTTGGGCCCGCTGGCTGAAGTGCTGCCAAATTTTATGGATAGGGACGAACTGAGTCGATATGGAAAAGCCATCCAGTATTTCAGGGGGTAAGGAATGGATCAAGACTCCTCTAGTTTGCTCAGCGCTCCGTGCTTGGTTCTCTGCCATGAGAATGTCAACGCCCACCAATGGCTGATTGGCGAGACACGTCCAGAGGCGATGAGTACCTTGAATCAAAGCAAACCCAAAGATCGCTTCAGAGGAGGGCGTGCAAAGCCCTTGTGGAATGCCTTATCGTTAGGAAGCAGTGCGGCTTGGGACTGCCTGCGGCGGCATTGACACAGAGATTGAAATCCCATCTAGACTCATTTCCAGGAGTTGAAAGCATGATAAATCGGGTTATTGGTTCATGAGACTATGGACAGCATTTTTACCAGAACGGAGGACCAGGGTTTTTTCGCAACGCCACCAATGCAACGCGATTGCCACCAAATAGTTGCTATCAGCTTCTGCAATCCATCCATTCAGGGTTTTCCCAAATCGCGCAACCTGCAACGCAGTCCACGATAACCTTCCTGGTTGCGCAAGTGGTTATACATTTGCAGTGGCTGGTGATTTGTGGCTAGTATATACCTAAGCACCTGCACCGCCGTGCTGACGATTTAGGGGTTGGAAACAAGGGGTCGGAAAAGGGGGGCCAGGTGTGGGTCCGGTCGCAGGTCGACAGGTCGAACAGCGCAAGGGATAGTACATAGGCAAGCTGCAAACACGCTTCCAGGCTTCGAATACGCCAGGTAAATGCCAAAATTCTGTTTCACGACCATTGTATATGCCCTCACTTTAACACGATTTACTAAATTTTAGTTAGGTACTGCAACCAGTGCCCCGCCACTGCAATTTGGTTGCAGTGGCGCAACGGCAATTTACTAGATCCAGGGGGCTAGGCTGGCTGCAGTGGATTGCGTTGTGTGACACCCTGCGGGGGACCAAAGTGAAATTGAAATAGTAAAAAACGGATGAACCAGCTTTCAAAGTTGTTTGTCGTAAGAGGCAAAAAGGTATTATTCGTATGCATGTATCCAACCAAAGATTGAATGGGATAATATTGTGAAACCCACCAAAAATTAAAGAGCTCGATCTCGGGATCGAACCGAGGTTTGTGGAAGATTATTGATAAAAGCAAGATATCAAAATCCACCGTCCTAACCACTAGACGAACCGAGCCAATAGAAGGTGTTCAAACATTTCGTTATGGTGCTTTATGAATATGCCTGTCATTTGCGCCTTGACGACTAGCCGCCTGGACGGTCACCATCCTGCCTATCACCTTGCCTAACTTGACTTAATCTTTATTTGCCTTCTTATCCTAAGCTTTGATTCATTCCTGACGTTTCAAGGGCCAATGCAGCATAGCTAGAACATGCTTTTTATGTGTTTGGCTGAAACATCCCTTAATGCATATAGTGAAACAGTTTAAGGTTAAACTGGTTATATGTACTAACAGGGTATTTATAAAGAGCGAAGATTCGTTCATTATATATCTTACCTCCTTGTGCGTCTTAGTTACGAATCTGCCTGTTGGAAACTTAGGAAGAACCGTTGTTTAACTTCTAGCCTCACAGAAAACCGAAAAACGAAACTCCAGTAAGCTTCGCAGTCCTCGAAGGTGTGCTCGGTGTTTGGAAATCTCCCCTTCTGGGAGTTTATATTCAACTTTATTCATGCAACATGTCCATTCGGACCTTGTATGCCCCATGAATGATGGTGTTGCTGACTATGAGGGTATAACTCCAAAGCAAGAGCAGGACAGCGTAGAAACCGAACTCTGTCAGATATCGAGAAATGGAAATAAATGTACAGGATTCTTTTCCCTGATGACAACCGGATTTCTCTCACGTATAAAGTTAACATGCCTAAGTGTAATGGTCAAGGTCACTGAAAGAACACAGTCTATGAACACATCAAATCACCCTAGAAGAGAAGTCACGAAGCTGACCAAGTACTTCGAAAGGTTGATCCGTGATGAACTACCTGCTCTGGTGAGGGAAAAGTTGGAAGCTGGTGTAATCAGATTGAAGAGAGTACGAAGTCAGCTTTTGTCGACATGGTTACGAAAGAACTTCTGGACTTTTTAAGGGGTATGACAGGGAAAGTATATCTATGTCGAGCCATGCTTCGCCAAACGAATGTACTGGGCTTGATGCTAGTATCGAGTTCACCGGTAATAAACCTTACTCTTCTGATACGACGCCCTTGTCTTTGGAACCGTGCCTATGGTGGAACTATAATGACTTCAATATGGGCGAACCTTTGGTTTTCTATATTTTAGTACCATAGTTCCTCATGATATATATATATATATACATTCAGGGTCGTATGAGGACAGCAGGGAGTATCTTATATCAAAATAGTACGTTGAGTAGTATACGACGGCATAACGGTATGTCGTGAGACAAGATATGTTTGCTGGTGACACCTTTCACATATTGTCCTTTCATGGCCGTATTTTCACTTCTTTTTTCTTTTGTCCCTCGCAGCTTTAGTACAGCATATGGTTCGAGGGTAAATTTTTGTCATACAGTGCGTAGACTGGAAAGAGTAGCTGAGTATAAAGCAGGAGTGTCCAAGGACATGATGCAGGATCCCCAACTCTTCTTATCAATATTGACTATAGCTTACTCTCGAAGCTTCCCGAACTGCCTCGTTTGAGGATTTCAGGTACCCAATGTGGAAGTTCTATGCAGAATCAGGTCATGGGGTCTCAACCACAAGCATCAAGATTGCTTGACCAGAAAGATTCATGGAGTGTGATTGGCGTCATAGCATTGGTGATGTGTTTACCCCTGAAAGCTGAACATTACCCCAACACCTACATACCCCACCGGCGCTTAGCGATACTCGCTTGACTAGATTGAGAGAAGTTGGACTACACAATGTCTTTACAACTGCACGGTGTATAAACAAACTTTAAATCCTTGTCACAGTTTGGCGCGGGGTCGACAGAAAGACTGTAGAATAGAATGCTCCGTGGCACCGCAGCTTCCCTCTGTATTTCATGAAGAGAACTACACATTGCATTGGACTCAACTGGATGCGTACATATAAGATCTAGTCCTGCAGTTATGCTTAACCCAGCCAGCCACATTGAATATTAATAGGCCTAAGTGGATGTATCAAGCATATGCGTAAAGTACGATCGTACGCTATCTTACCACGGCCCATCAAGAGCTAGAAGGCGAGGAGAAGGGGACAGGAAGGCGAAGGTTATAGTGCTTTGAAGCAGAATTGAGGGGGTGCCAAGGCAGAGACTATACATGACATGTGTTGTAATACCTTGGAGATGTTTAATCTCCATGAAACCATATAGTCCTAGTTGAGTCCACATATCACTGGTTTGGAATTGCACTTTACTTCTAACTGATTATGATCTCTATTATTATTGGAACCACGTATCCCTATTTGTGCACAATTCTGGGCTCTCCAACAAGTGGGTGATATCATGCAGTAATATGTCTGCGTTATCACTTCTGCATATCTAGTGGCACGTGGACTGAAGTATATGTCAAGCCATAGCATGGACCTGGTGGGACGGTTCAACTCTACGCCCCTGATAGTAGCTAATAATTTACATATAAGACAAGAGCATTCTCTTCCAAAATAGAAAGATTGACGAGCAGCACCATACAGCCTCCTCTGCCTCCCGCCCAGATCTGAAGAAGGCTTCATTTGCTTCTGACAATAGCGTTTCGATTACTCGATTACCTTTCATAAAGTTCCACCCCTATTACGCTTGATAAGACAACCTCGTTTTATATACCACTCAGACATCCAAACTACTACTTGCTGGATCTGTGATCCTCATATAAGGTAAAATCGCCTTGGGCAAATATCCTTCTCATGAAATCATGGTCTAACTGAACAAAGCGATGATGGAGTCAACAGACAAGAGTATGACAATGGTCAATGATTGCGCAATCAATCACCCTGTATGCTTACAATGGGATGTATATGTTTATCCTGTATAATTTACTGATGTGGTCTAGTGCTCTAACTGCGAGTCCTGTGGTAGGAAACAGTGCGAGTGTAAATGTCGTTGACAGGATACTGAGAGGAAAGGAATTGATTTAGGGATGAAGGTACGGGCTCAGAATGGGTTGCTCTGAGATGATGCCTTTGTCTATTTGTCTGTTTAAGAATGGATAGGTCCCTAGGACTTAGCAAGTAGGGATCGCTTACTAGACTCATCCAAATGCATCCATTTCTCGCAGACATACGTTCTAATGTGTCATATCATATTGACCTCCCTAGACTTTCTACCCGATCATCAAGGCTGTCCCGGGCCAGCTCCTCTTAAGTAAGCGCCTCCAAAGCCAAATCCCCTTACAGGTTTGTCCATCTAAGCCTGTTCCACCCCCCACCCCCCGACCCCTACAACACGCACCATCTATCACTTCTCAGTAAATGGGTTCTGTAATGTTGTATACAGGCTACATGTCCGCTTCGTATGGAAGCATGCCTGATACAAATTCACTCATCTATCACGGCGAAAGACCTATATTGTTGTCACATGACAGGTAAATGCACTCGCGTCAAGATCAGACAACGTTGATAAATCCTTTAAAAAGGCGTATATAGAATTTATGTCACATGCTACGATGAATATATACATGAACAGCCACAGTCTACTCAGCCCAAAATCCTCGCCACACTCATCCCTCATCCCTCATCACTCATCACTAGTATACGACCTGATAACAGGTAGAGGAGAGCACGGCATCGTCTAGATGCCAACCCTCCTCTTCCCATGGCCCTCTTTCCCCCTGGATATTGCTTGCTCTAGCTAGGCTTCCTAAATCTAAGACGACTTAGTGGCGAAGCCCAGCTTCGGGGTGGAGCCGCCGTTGAAGACGACGTAGGAGGCCTTGAGGGCGATGTCGCCGAAGATGTTGATGCCGATGCCGGAGCTGGACTGGAGGCCGCCGAAGCAGGTGTCCGGGTCGCTCTCGCTGGCCTGGGCGTAGTTGATCAGGGAGCCGGGGACGACGATGTCGGTGCCCTCGACGGTGTAGGCGAAGTCGGGCAGGTCGGCGCTGCAGGGGAAGACGTAGCCGCCGAGCTGGCTCGAGTCCTCGGCGCCCGAAACGCCCTTGTAGTAGGCCTTGACGACCGCGTCGGGCAGCATGAGCAGGGTCGTGCCGGTGTCGGCGATGCCGTCCAGCTTCGTGCTCGACGCCTTGCTGCCGATCTTGTACCCGGAGGCCGTGAACTCCCAGAAGCCCTGCGACGTGCTCACCGTCGTGTAGGTGATGTCGCCCGTGTACTTGGAGTCGTCGGCGAAGCCGAAGTCGTACGAGCCAGCTGAAGGAGGGGGAGAGGTCATGTTAGTCAAGTCTATTCGCAACCCGATCATAGATAGATGAATGGTAGGGTACGGGGGGTGTGGGGGAGAGGCTACTACTTACGAGCATCGTGCTTAAGGTCAACCGCGAACAGCGGGTCGCTTAGGGAGCCCTTGACGTTGTCGAAGAAGGTCTTCTGGGCCTTGGGGGAGACGGTGTTGATGGAGCTGAAGGCGAGGCCGACGAGGCCGTCGTTGTTGGTGTCCTGGGTGAACTGCTGGGAGATCTTGCTGGCGGCCTCGACGGCCTGGGTATCGAAGCTGACGCCGCCGATGCTGACGGTGTCGGTGTAGACGTCGCCCGAGGCGCCGCTGCCGTCGCCGTAGGAGATGTCCCAGCTGGCGCCGGACAGCTTCTTGGCGGTGCTGCTCTTGGAGGCGTCGTAGACGCCGTGGCCCGACTGCAGGCTCTTGGACAGCTCGCTGCTGAAGACCCACAGGTCGGCCGAGCCCGTGTCGAAGTCCAGGTTGAGCGTCTGCGCCGGCGTGCCGATCTCCACGGGCGTCAGGTACTCGACATCGTCGGGCTCCGGGGTCGTCACGGCGCTGCCCTGCTCGGAACCAGCCCGCTTCTCGAGGGTGCTGTTGGCCAGCGCCGCCATCACGTTCTCCGGCACGGGCTTGCCGAACTTGCGGTAGGCCTTGGCCATGGCGCGCGCGCCGTTGCGCACGTAGGTCGGGTTGCGCACCTGATGCACCGTGAAGCTGTTCTTCTCCCGGGGGGCGATGGGCGTGGCCGTGCCCAGGGAGAAGGCCGCGCTGGCCAGCAGGAGGGTCTGGGTGAGGGAAGGCATGGTGAAAATGCTTCTGATTTTTTTCTTTTTTG